GAAAGCTGAAGCCTACGATGTCTGATAATTATCAGTGTTACCTCAGATTTGTCTTACTAAGGTCACTGTCCATACCTTAGTAGAGGTCATATTTCTGGGCTGTTTTGGCGAGGTAATTTTAAAGGTTTCGAATTAACACGGACGATTTAACATCGACGTCTCTATTAGTGTAGAATTACGCTACGGAAAACTTGGAAAACTTGGAGTCGGTCTCAAATCACTGACTCTCGTAAGTTCCATCGGTCAGCCTCAGACTGGCACAGCCACCAGTCAATGTCGGTCATGGCGGAAGGCCGACGACGACTCGAGTCGTACCTTTTATTTTTATTCGTTTTCCGTGACAGCCGAAGCCGCACGTCGAGTAACGTGGAGTTGAGCAGAAGAATTGTAAAGGCGCAGATGGCAAAAACGTTTACATGATTGCAAATGATGTGCGTGGGTCGCTGGCGGTTGGTTTTTTACGGTATTCACGAGTCCGGTTACTGAAAAAACTTTAATTAAATGTCACCTTATTTTGTGTGCGCCCGTCCACCATCTGGAGGCATCTGATCTTCGATGACTACTACCACGCGAGCTTCTTTTGTTGACCGATGTACCGGTCGACAGGTCGTTGAACCGGTAGCTGCTGTGGACCTATTTGCCGGTCTGGGCAGCCTTAGGTTTGTCGTGCTGTTCGGTCTGCGACCCTTCTGTGTTGCTCTTCGAACAGAGTGTCTGTCTGGCGAGTGGTGTGTCCGTTGTTAAGGCAACTGTGGAGGTTTGCAAAACAGCATGTTTGGTTCTGTACGAGGTTCCGTTACAGCAACGCTACCATTGTGAAATATTGTTGTAACAATGACGATGATACTGTGCAATATCTCTGATGTTCAAGAGATTGTGTACTGTACTGACATAGCGAACACTTCGATTGTGATTGATTGACTGATTTCCGTTAATCACGCCGTCGCATCGGTTATGTGTATGTTATTGTTTATAAATTTTGAAAGACTGAAGACTGGTTTACTGCTTGAAGAAGTTTGCCAATAATTAACGCTTTTCGTCACAACAAATGAATATCAAAAATGAAACAAAAACGAAACAACTGTTAACAAAGCTATAATCAAATTATGCTGCACTGGTCACATAAACCGACCCAGAAACAACCGGAGTAATTCTAGATTCTAGCCCTCTGCGAGCGCTTCGAATTATCACATCCAACCCATGAATTCACTGCCTAATCAGATGCCCAGTATTTGTTCGGTTCTCATTGTCGCCTTATAGTAATTAAGCACAAACGTGGAGTTTCATCGATTTGGTGTATCAGACCGATTCAAATCATTATATTTATTTTATGCGTAATTCTTTGTTTTAGCAAAGTTAATGTTCCTCGTTGCAGGCAAGTGGACATGAGGTTTTCGGGGGG